AATTCGTCTATACCTGAGCTTCAACATAAAAGATGTTTAGAGTTGTAATTCCAACTAAAAACAAATAATACCCTCCATCTCCATCATGCTTAAAATGATCATTGTTCGGCATTATTTCCACAATCTCCATATCCTCGTTCTTACATCTACACTAGTCTGTTGAACCCATGAGAATAAAACCCTAACTCACTTGTCATCAATCATAAAACAAAAAACTAAACTAATCTACGCAGGAAATCAAAAGAAAAGAAAGGAATTTCAACAAAACTAAAAATTGAAAAGAAATCTCAATTTTTATATGGATACCATAAATGTAAATGATAATGGGAACTGTATAATAAATTGATTATTGTTGAAATTGATAGAGTCGTCTAATAATTGTCCAACTTTATTTATAAGATGATTATGAAAAACATTGTCAAAAGAATGATGTTGTAGAGGAAAATAACTCTATGTCAGTATTTTTTTAATTAATAACTAGTGGTAACGATCGTACTGAACAATGTGTAAACTGAAATTTACACCCCCCCCCCCGGAATTGGAATATATATTTGTTATCGTCCTCTTAAAACGTAGTGTTGGACTTGAAGTTTCCAACATAAATGAGTGACGTGTCTTTTGGATATGGATTCGGCCTCTATTATTGATGGAACTGAATATATGCTTTGTCACGATCTTCATAGTTTTGGCTTTATTTATGGTATTTGGAGTACCATGTTCCCTAAAACTTCATTATCTTATTCCTTTCTTCTTCAATATCCTCAACCGATTACACATTTAATGGGATTCCGGTGTCTCGATATATTTAGTTGGATTATGTTCAAAGTCGAGTTAAATCAAATTTTTAAAAGAGTAAAGCACATTTAATATTACCAACAATCAGTTGGTTTAGTGGAATGAGTCATTAGGTCCCTTAAGCAAGGTCAGAGATTTGAATCCTGGTGTTTGTGAATGGAGCAAACTGGGTTGGGAGGGTCGCCCTTGTCTCTGCAGTACTTGATCTGAATTAATCGATCAATAGATCGGATACCAGTGATTAATTAAAAAAACACATTTAATATTATTTTATATAAATTTAATAAGATAACATCATTGTTCATAAACAAATATATATGCTTGATTTGACAGTTTACCCCGTTCAACCGAATATATTTGTCATCAACCTCTTTGGCATATAGTGTTGGGCTTGAAATTTTCGAAAGAAATGGGTGATGTGTCTTTTTTGGCATTTATTATCGATTGAATTGAATATATACTCTGTCATATGGCTTCTATTATTAATTGAATTGAATATATATACTCTGTCACAATCCTTATAGTTTTGGCCTATCTATAGTTATACTTGTGTACATCCCTAACATATTGTTGTTTGTTATCGATTATCAGTTGATTTTATGAGATAAATTTAAAATCTTACATGTGAGAAATTTTATTCGACTTGTTCAGACCGTTAATCTTTGTTTCTTTATATTTTCTTATGTCAGTGAATTTTAGAGCATAAGAGCATTTTCCTTTAATTAAAAGTTTTTCTTCTTTCCCCTTTAGTTAAGATTAATATTAGACTTAAAATTTATCGGAAAAAAATCAAAAACAAAATCTCACACGTTAAAGTCAAAGATTTAAATTATTTAATTATATGCTTAGTAACAAATGAATTATTTTTTCAATATTATAATTTAAGTACTCAATTAAAATATTATTATAAATAAATCATTGATCATTAAATATGAGATAAGATAATGATGTAATCTAGTATAGTGAAGGTTTTATTTCTCAAAACTTATATATTCTATCAAATTGACCCGAACTTAAAATAACTCAATAAGTTTAACCCTTTCATATGTAAAAATTATATCAATTTAATCTTTTTTTTCTTCTAAACTACTTGTTCTTCTCTAAAATTATTATATTGCATGTTATTCATGGCTGAATTTATTGTCAAACCTTAAACGATGAAAAAATGGTATGCATTTTATCAAAGATTCGTTTTTCAAAGTTCGGAAGTCAGTTACGTGTGGGGAAGGGTTAGCACCCCCACAACGCCCAAATTTTGGTACCTAAACGATTATATATTGTTTAAATATTGGGAATTACAAACTTAAAAATATATTTATATTACGATCCTATTATTCATTCGAATTTATTTAAAAAATGTCATTTTTTGTATTACGAATGTCTTTTTGTGTGAACAATCTTGGGGAAAATACTTCCTTTACAGTTAGGAGAATTTCTTATAGATTCCCCTTACAAAAGACATTACTCATAATTTTCGCAAAGATAAAATAGAACAAAATAAAACAAATTAAAAATGAAAAGAGTTGAAAATAATCAAAATAAATAGTTGTGGAACAAAGAGAAATTTTTAAATACAGAACAAACATTTATGTGAAAAATCTTCGTAAAGACACCCCTTATAGTTGGGAGATGTCTTCGTAGATTCCCCACACAATGAAATTTTCCATTTTTTTATACATACATACATACATAAAATTATAATGATCAATAAAACAAAATTACAAATTTTGACTAATATACACATTTGCAAACATGATAAATTAAAATACAAATAAAATTATACATGCTTAATAAAATAAGGGACTAAATAGTAATAAAAGAAATTTACAGGACTAAAACAACAAAAACAACAACTTAAAGGACCAAAATAGCAAAAAATAAACCCAAAGGACTAATATAGAAAAAAGAGAAAGTTAAAGTGCTAAAATAGAAAAAGTAGAAACTTAAGGGACTAAAATGGTATTAATAGAAAATAGGATGACTAATAGTGATTACATAAATAAATAGAGCCAAAATAAAAATATTAAGCATTACATGGATTAGAAATGTAAATAACCCATTAATAATAGTAAGGACTAAAAAGAAATAAACAGAAACATAAAGGACTTAACTATAATTAAACCAAATACTAACCGAGACTAAAATAAAATATTTACAAATGTGGGGTCAAATTCGAACATCAATAAAAATATCCTAACATATAAATCAGTGACTAAAACGAACTAATCGCAAATATTGTAACCATAGTCAAATACAAGCAAAAACAGAATGAAACATAAGATGGTGACGTAAATGTAAATGGGGAAAGATAAAGGCTCAGAACAGAACAACATAAACTTCATTCCATGGCTCAAATCACGAGATTACAAAGAACGGGGGACCCAATATGCAAATATCTCACACGCAAAATTACAGATCCCTCCCCATCAAAACTACGTCGTTTTGGACGTGATATATAAACCCCAAAACAAAGCCAAAATTGGCTAACCACCAAGAACACATAACTACAAGGGAGGAGAATCCAAGAGTTGAAAATTAAAGCATAACACCTACTAAAGAAAGGTCTCCTAAACCTTCAGTCAGTCGTCCTAGAAACACCTGCCAAACCGAGCCACTGCTGAAACTACAATGAAACATCAAACCCGGACATATCAAAATTAACCTGTCCCAAGTTCAAATTACAGCTGCACAAGGGTACAAAAAGAAACCCCACACACAATCTGAAAAGCTGGAACTTCAAGAGATTTACATCCTGCCATATCATATCACGGAACTAACATCCTCCTAATCAAGCATGGTTATTAGGAGGATCAACTCTTGCACATGACTACGGCTTGTCACCATGGAATAGTTGACTACTCCTTGATCAGAATGCTTAATCCCATCACGCTTGAAAAGAATGTCACGGGTAAGGCCTTGTTTTGCTAGACAATCAGCCAAACCATTCCTATTCCTTGGAATATATTCTAGCCTAATTGATGGGATAGCTTTCATCAGACTATCAATCTCCTCCAAGAGATCCCACCATCTCCAGGGTCTCATATGTACGGAGCAGATCCAATTCAAAGCCACTTGCGAATCAGATTCTATAATTATATTCCAAAATTTGTGCCAACCAGTTTCAATAACAATTTCTAAAGCAGTTTTTATCGCTAAAACTTCTGATAAATCCGAGTTTACCGCATTAACCGGACCGGAGAAGATTACTTTTATATAACCTTTTTCATCTCTCAAAGCTCCTCCACAACCACCTGCCACGTCTTTGAATGCTCCGTCTACATTAAATTTCAGAGAACCTGAAAGAGGGGGATTCCAGACCGCGATAAGCATCTTTGATTCTAGGCCTTGATCCCCAGTCTTCCGATTCATTTGCTAGTAGAATGTGATCCGAGACATTTCTTGATAACCCATGGACTATTAAATCTCCTCTAGTTTGAATCCCATTTTCTTCCAGCAAGAATCTATCGGGTTTTCTGCGATTATTTCCAGGCCCTATCCAAGTAAACCTTCTCCCCGCCATTTGGATTTAGATTAAGTTAAAAGATTCTATAAAACAGTTGAATCCTTCCATACCTAGGATAATGGAGCCTTTACCTCTTCTTTCCTCCTTGATGCTGTCAAAGGCCACTCTAGTGATTGTAGGGAGAAGATGAAGACATCAATAATAACAATAAAAGGTATTTTATTGGAGTAACAGATGGTGTTGGATTATAAGATCCAATACTTAATTATTCCATACATATAAAGAAGCCCCAGAGACCAATTCTGGCTAGGTTGTTGTTGGTCGTAGTCATTGAGCGTACCTTCGAATCTTGCACATCCAGCACCTTTCCAGTACCCACATGCAAATCTCCATCGTTCTGGACCCCCCCCCCCCGGTCGCACCTTTCTACGTTGATGGTGCTCCAACCAGGATTTGCATACTTAAGACACCAATTTAGATTATGTTGACGCCTTGTGGTCCCGTCTGCGTATATTGCCCATTCCTTTTCAGTACCCTTACACGTACAGTTCCCCAGCTGCACCATACTTGCACTTACTCCCAAGCACTGGCCTAGGTAACTCGCAATGCTGGTCATCGGTGGCGTTGTATTTGTGCTAAAAGTAAAAGCTTGATTATAAGCATTAACATTGAAATCTAGAGCTAGACTAATCAGCCCCGAAGTAAACTGAAATTCCGTCAAGACCAGCCCGGATTTAAGATTTCATATAGTTCCACCACTCAGGATTTCCCATTTGGTGGCATCAGGTTCAGCCTTGTCACAATCGTAGATCACCACATCGGCTTGGGAGAAGTATCCATAAGCGGTTAAGCATTTTCCGTTGCACCGAATTGTATTATCGTCTGATACCGATGTCCGCAATTGATTGGTTGAATGTCCACATGGCCATAACACTACTGGGTTTCCATCCTTGTAGTTTCCCTTGTATACGTCGGCACACAGACCATTTTGTCCGATGATGTTCGTGCTTAGATCTGTAGTGGCAGCCATAATATTGAACATGGCTGTCGGTGGTTGGGCCACGGACAGGGAACAACCGCATAACACTGCCACTGCTAAAACAACCCACACCTTCATTGTTTGCTGATACAACGAAACCCTCATTTCAAGACAATTCTTTTAGTAGAAATGGAGAGAGTTTTGCAATTTGCAATGCTCGGCTTTGGACGTGATTCCAACAAGGGGACGAGGCCTTTTATAACAAATTTTACTTCTCATGATTCAATTTTTTCACCGTGATCAATGAAAAATTTTACTCATAATTCAACTTGGTTTTCTTTTGTCTTCATGAGGATAGTAAAAAGATTCTATCTCTTAGACAATGATGTTTCATGACTATTTGATTTATAATTAGTTATTTAATTTAGTTTTTTTCTTATCTTCACGGGAATAGTAAAAGATTCGATCTCTACGTGAATTTTAACGGTGTTAAAATAGAGTTGACATCAGTAAACTTTTCTAAACATTGGTTGTTACTTAAAGGAACGCAAAATAAATGTAGTTAGACGATTTTTTTTTTAAAGGGAAATTTTATATTGTATTTGAGACACAACTACAAAACAAATAAAGATGGAGACTTATGCCTCATTAAAAAAACATTTCTGATCTTAAATGAAAGAAAAAGAGTGTGCCACGGAACATGGACATATAACTAGATTTTGCCCCTCACAATGATCCTAGGAACTGACACCCGACCAACTTTTCAAACTAACTATACCCCCTAGATCAGTATACGTTACTACACCATATTAATAAGGGAACCGTTAAAATACAGTTGATATCAGTAAACTTTTCTAAACATTGGTTGTTACTTAAAGGAACGCAAAATAAATGTAGTTAGACGATTATTTTTTTTGAAAGGGAAATTTTGTATTGTATTTGAGACACAACTACAAAACAAATAAAGATGGAGACTTATGCCTCATTAAAAAACATTTCTGATCTTAAATGAAAGAAAAAGAGTGTGCCACGGAACATGGACATATAACTAGATTTTGCCCCTCACAATGATCCTAGGAACTGACACCCGACCAACTTTTCAAACTAACTATACCCCCTAGATCAGTATACGTTACTACACCATATTAATAAGGGAACACAACAAAAGCCAACCAGCTTACCACAGAACGCTGCAACCAATCAACAAATAAAGCTGATAATTATCTTTCGACAGTTCATTGCCAAAGGAAAATTTCATTGCAAAACCTCAAAGCATAGGTGCCAAAGATCCTCACACAAATCTTGCTCATTATTGCCTCTGACAACTTCATTGCAAACAATCCTGATTATCATCAAAAACCAATTGTGTGTGCACACCCAAGCTCTTCAAAAGGCACTACATCACGCCAAAACAAACAATAGCATACAAGGACAAATCATCATAACATACAATCAATCCCAACGAGCACCTTTAGTGGATTTAACCTAAAATTGCCCCTATAACAAGAAACAATTAACTTCGAATGACCCATATAGCCAAGGAAACATGAACTAGGAAACCTGAAACCCCCTAGAAATCCAAAAAATATCGACTCAAAAAATACTCTATACGCATCGGCTCAACCTAGCTGATCCCACAAACATATATTCTAAAAGAGAAACTTCAACAACCATGATTCACAGATTAACAATTAACAGCAGTCCTTGAACAAGCAACTCGAAAAAACACCCATGTATTATCAAGAAGAAAGAATTAAGCAATAAAACCCACACTCTCATCAATCATACACGAGAATTAAATGTCACTCGGCCTTCTGGTAAAGTCTAGAATATTTAGAACAAGTTGTGGCCATTTGTTATGGCACCAAAAACCAATCCGAAACAGCGCCCCAACTCAGATAGATAAACAACACCCGTACTCAAATTACTAACTATAACATGACAAAAATTGTTGCTCCAAAATTCACAGAAGACCTTTTAAAATTCCTGAGACTCACCGTTCGACTCTTTTAACGATGTAAAATCTCGAACCACATCTTCTTCTTGACCTTGAAATTGAATCCCCAAATTTTTACCTAGCTCAAGAGTTTTTTTGGCTTCCTTTAATAAAAACGACCTTCTAGCTCGTATGTCTGAGTCAGAAATAGATCTTCCTACCATTTCTGAGTTCCCCTTCTTTTTCATTTGTTTCTTCTTCTTTCGAATTGCTCGAGACCCTTTTTTCCTTTCCGAACTTGTCAAAAATATATCTTGTATCTTTGACAAATAATCATATCTTTTCTAATTGATCAACCACGATCTAAAGCACTTATCTTTCTTTCGCGAAACCATAATGTTTTGAGTGTTTGTTTCTGGCCTTTCAACCACTTCACCTGAGACTGATGACACGGGGCTAAAGTGTAGACTAGTTGGTTCGTGCGGCCCTTAGTCGCTTTGCTTGGTTGTTGGGCGCTAAGGCAGCCTTAAAGCTTAAGCTTGTTCACTTAAGTTGTTGCGAACGTAAGAACAAAATAGTATGAACGGAAATAATAGATGCACGAGAGTTTTTAGCTTGGAAGCCGGGGTAGTCTTATTTCCAATAGAAAAGAATGAATGAATACAATGGGGTGGGGAGGCCCCTTTTATAGCGAGAATCTCTTATGAGTTGATGACTAAGTCTACTTTTACTCTAACTAAAAGTATTTCCCTACTTAAGTTAAAACTCCTAAGGCTGAGTCCTATTTGAACAAGGATGGTGGCTTTGTCCCTTTTTCTTAGAGGGGCCAGATTTGGCTTGAGGAGGGCCCGGATCATGTTGTGTTTGGCCTTATCCCATTCTGTCGTGGGCTTGGCGTGCTTTGGGGTGGGCTTGGTTCGTTGCTTGATGCATCTGGGCCTCAGAGTGCCTTGGTACGTGTGGATGCAGGCTGGATGATGTTGGACTCGGCTTTAAGGTCGTGGTCTATGACATTCTCCCCCACTAGTTCTAGCGACGCCCTCATCGCTTGGCTTGCATGAAATTGCTCGATTTTGTCTTTGAATTGTCATAGGGCTTCGGCAGGTTCCCAACACCCTTCGTTTTCGGGGAGTCCCTTCTATTGAACCAGGTATTCATGCCTTGGTTTGTGCCCCACTCGGTGAACTGATCTTTCAGTGTGGATTACTTCGACTTCTCTTGCATAAGAGGCTTTTATTCCAACTGGAACTCGATGAGAGATACTTTGGTCGGGATTGTCCTTGTCTGGATGGAATGGTTTAAGTAGGCTCACGTGTAACACAGGGTGAGCCCTGATGGTTTGTGGTAAGTCTAACCTATACATCATGGTGCCTATTTGTTTTATGATCTTGAAGGGTTCTTCGTATCTTTACACCAACCCCTTGTGTCTATCTTGGTTGCGCAAGATGTTTGTGAGTTTGGCAAGGACAATGTCACCTTCTTGGAAATTTACGTCCCTGTAATTTTTGTCTGCTCACTTCTTGGTACGTTTCCCTGCTTTATGCAGGCAGGCTCGGGCTAACTTGTAGTTCTCTTGCCATTCCTTGGCAAATTGATAAGCGAATGGATTGGATCCTTGGTACCCAACTATAACCGTGTTGGATGTAAGCGGTTGTTGTTCGTTTACAATCTCGAACAGGCTTTGGTTGGTGGCTTCGCTCTTTTGCAAGTTGTAAGAAAATTATACCACGTCTAGAAGATTTGGCCAGTCACTTTGGGTAGCACTTACGTAGTGCCTAAGATAAATTTATAAAAGTCCATTGACTCTTTCGGTTTGCTCGTCGGTTTGTGGGTGGACTGTAGTTGAAAAGTTCAGGCGAGCTGCTTCTTTGGATGGGCATACTTTAGATGCGGGGATGAATGTCCCATACTTGGAAAATCTATCGACTACAACCATGATGCTCGATAGTCCCTCTGAGTGTGGGAGTCCAACGATGAAGTCCATTGAGATGCTTTCCCATGGTCACTCGGGAATGGGCAAAGGTTGTACCAATCATGCTGGTTTCTTTAGTTATATCTTATCTTGTTGGCATACAAGGCATGTTTTAACGTAGGCCTCTACGTCTTCGTTTATGTGCGGCCAATAATAATGTTCGTTTAACAATGTCATTGTTCGATGGGTCCCTGGATGTCCTGCCCATTTGGAATCGTGGCATTCCATAAGGAGTTCCTTGCGTAGCTTTCCATACTTTGGAGCATAGATGCAGTACCTATGGGTATATAGTAGATATCTCTCAAGCCAGAATATTCTATATTTGTCTTCTTTGGCATATTCAATTATAGATTTGGCTTCATGATCATGTGATAGCCCTTCCTTTATGCGTTCTATCATGTGTCCCTTCGGTGAGCTAATGACTTCGATGTTGTACCTTCGGCTTAAGGCATCAGAAACACAATTTACTTTACCGGACTTGTGTTCCAGGAAGAAATCAAATTCGGTAAGGAATTCTTGCCAATGAGCTTGTTTGAGGGACAACTTCTTTTGGGTCAGGAAGTAGCTGTTCACGATGTTGTCTGTGAATCCTATGAATTTTGATCTGAGTACGTAGTGTCTCCATAAGCGTAAGCAATGGATTACAGCAGTCATCTCTTTTTCGTAGACTAAGTAACTTCTTTCAGTCTCGTTGAGTTTCCGACTTTCATAGGTTATTGGGTGTCTGTCTTGGATGAGGACTCCCTCGATGGCAATATCAGATGCGTCGGTGTGAACCTCGAAAGGTTTATTGTAGTTTGGTATGCACAACACTGGCTCGCTCGATAGAAGGAGTTTGATCTTGTCAAAGGCCTCTTGGCATGTCTGATCCCAAACCCAAGGCTTTTATTTCTTATGTAATTCGGTTAAGGGTGTGGCGATCTTGGAATAGTCTTTGAAAAATCTTTTGTAATAATTGGCTAATCCTAAAAAGGATCTTAATTCGGTTATCTTGGTTGGGGGCTTTCAATTTTTAATGACTCGGATCTTGTCCTTATCCATTTGGATCGTGCCCCCTCTTATGATGTGACCTAAGAATGGGACTTTCTTTTGGGCAAACGAGCACTTCTCTTCTTTGACATATAGCTCGTTCTCTTGTAGAACTTGGAATACTTGCCTCATGTGTTGGACATGTTCCTCTAGTGTCTTGCTATATATCACGATGTCATCCAAGTAGACCACAACAAATTGATTGAGAAAATATTATAATACCTTATT